CCCTCGCCGGGAGGGTCCTGGAAAGCTCAGAACAAAGGCTGACAGCCCGCCCGTAGGTCCTCCCGCACTGTCCAGTCCTAGCACGCGTGAGGGGCGTCGGGTCGGAGAGTCCCCCGGAACTGCATGTCCTCACCGTCCCCCGGGATGAGTAAGACCGGGCGCTGGGAGAGCAGCGCTGTCCCGGTGCAGAGCCTGGCGCCCTGAGGTTCTTCCTTAACTCTTTCGTTGCTGATTCAGTTACATCTGCCAAAGTTGGACTGTAAATAAAAAGAGGAAAACCTTTGAAAGCTGGCACTATTACACAGTTGCAAGGTAATTATTGTATAGCAGTAACAGTGCTGAGTGTCCCAGTTAAATGGGTGTTATTGGAAGGAGGAAAGTAGGCGTTTCCTCCAAGGCTTACTGACTTGGAAAGGTTAGGTGCCTTGAGTGCTTTTTGTTAAGTTCAAACCAAATGACTTGTTGGGGCCAGTAGGCTGGCCTTAAGGGATGGCCCTGAGTGTGAGAAACGAGTGTGCTTTTCTTGGCGGTTCTGCTGCCCATGCTGCGTCTTTTTTAACTCGTTCCTTTTGCCATACATTCGTTAGGTGCTTTCATGGTGCCAAGCACTGTTTAATTTTTCTCATGTTACCTCATTTAATTCAGTTTTCGTAGTCCCGTCAGATAGGCGATACTGTCCGCTGTTTCATACTGGAGGGAACAGGTGAAGAGAAGCCACTTGGTGGAAGCCCCCTAATTGTCACAAGGTAGTTCTACTTTCCTTTAGTTGGCATTGCTTACGTGTTAAGCTGGGAATCTGTGGCTATTACGTTCCTCTCTGAAGTGCTGTCTTGAGAGGTTTTTGCTATCGGGCACATGTAGCTTGCCAGAGACAGAGACAGAAAGCGAGAAATCACCCCCCCTCCCCCCAGGGATGGCCAATCCCTTTTCTATTCTCCTCTCCAGATCTTGGGCACACAGGTGACTTTAAGCCACCTGGGGGTTTTGTTGTTGTTGTTGTTTTTCAGAGGAAGGAGAAGGCTTTGATCCATGCAAATAGGTTTTTTTTTGAGAGATTTTTGCTATAAGTGCGCATGCGCTCGCCAGAGAGAGAGAGAGAGAGAGAGAGAGAGAGAGAGACATAGAGACATAGAGACATAGAGACGGAAAGCGAGAAATCACCCCCCAGGGGGGATGGTCACTCTGCAGTCCCTTCTCCTCCATTCTCCTCTCGGGATCTTGGGCACTCACGCACACGCACCCGGCGTGAGTTTTAAGCCACCGGGTCTGGGCCGCCAACCTGCGGGTAGACTACGTGGGAGTCCAGCGACATAGCCATTACGCTAACTGCTGGTTCCCCAAATAGTTATTTTTATTATGTTCTTTCTGAGACTTGTCCATACACGCACACATTTTTCATATGATTACAATCATGACAATGTACAATTTTACATATCAATTTTTTATCACGAGTTGTTTATCACATACTGCACCATAAAAGATCACCTTCCCTTTATTTATTTATTTATTCATTTAAATTTATTTATTTACATTCATTCACTGTACATCATTACAGCATACAAAATGAGATTTTCCATCTACAATACACTGTATATTGGCTCAATCAAGCACATCAACATATGTGTTATTGTCAACAAATAATTTTCTATTTCTTGTTTCCTGTATATTTTGTTTTTTTTTTTTTTAAGCCACCTGAGTTTAAGCCACCGGGTCTGGGACTTCAGTTGTGAGTCCAATGACAGCCATTAACACCAACTACTGGTCCCTAAGTGCTGTCTTTTGAACTGAGCTGTTAACCCTTCCTCCTTACCATTCTTCTGTTGTCTGTAGCCTCTTTTAGTCATTGTTACCACACAGCTGTTTAGATTCCTGGCAAAAACCAATAAACAAAAGCCCCAATGAAGTGAATCCTTTTGCATCTTTATAACTACAATATAAAGAATTTATTTTCTTTTGAATCCTAGATCCTGCACCAGTTCAACTTATAGTTCAGTTTTTGGAGCAGGCTTCCAAACCTTCAGTTAATGAGCAAAACCAAGTTCAGCCTCCACCTGATAACAAGAGAAACCGTATTTTAAAATTACTTGCTCTTAAAGTTGCTGCACATTTGAAGTGGGACTTAGACATATTAGAGAAAAGGTATGCAAGATTTAAATGAGATTTCGTTCAGAGTACTATTTATGGATCTTGGTTTATTTCTGTTGTGTTTTTATGATATTGGCCTTTAAAGTGAAACTTATTTTTCTGTGTATTCTTGGTAAAATGTGCAAGTATTTTTCAAAAGGTATAAGAAGGTATTTGAATGTTAGATGAATTTAAGTCACCGTAATTGCTGAGACTGAGTGATATAGACATGGTGGTTCATTATATTATTCTGTCTACTTTTGTATATGTTTAAGTTTTTTTCCTCCCAATTTTTTGCCAGATGGCATGTGCACTCATAGGGGGCTGGGGAGGAGAGGACTAAGGAAGCCTCCCTCCCAGCCCCTTGCCACACACACACACACACACACACACAGTGGGGGGCCACACCGCAGTCCCTTTTCCATTTCTCCTTTTGGGCATGCACCCAAATGAGCCCAGTCTGTTTTTGAAGCTTCTTAATCCAAGACTGGAACCACTCAATTGGCCACATGGGATCCAGCTGCCTCAACCACTATGCCTCTAGCCAGCTCATAAGTATTTTTCATAACAAAAAGTTTTTAAACTCTTTTCATATTTGATAGGAAAACCTGAAAATTTGGTTCCTTAGCAGTGTAGTTATTTTCAGGGAAGATAGGGGATTGTCTATTTTGTGCTGTGTATGTAACTAGCATGTAAACATGTACCTTTCGCTTCTTCCTTTTAAGTTTATCTGTTCCAGTGCTGAATATGCTACTAAACGAGCTCCTCCGCATCAGTAAAGTTCCTCCTGGAACAAAGCATGTCGACATGGATCTGGCCACTTTACCTCCAACCACTGCCATGGCTATACTCCTCTACAATAGATGGTAATTTGTCATCATTCCAGAATCTGCTAGGTAGCCTGGTTTAATTGCACGGTGACTTTCAGTTGGATTCCTTTAAGGGACCCCCTTCTGTTCCAGAGTTCTTTTAGAGGCTCTGGGGAATTATGAGTTTGAAGGTGGAGAAAATTTGTGATTGCAAGATGAAAAACAGTCTGATAAAAATGGGGGTAATTTATAAAGTATTATATGTTAATAATTTATTATACAAATCTGCTAAGGAGTACTTGAGAAAATAACAGAAGTAACATCTATAATGTATTAAATTTTCTTTTTCCTGTCTTTTTTTTTTTTTTTTTCAGGGCAATTAGGACAATTATTCAGAGTAGTTTTCCTGTCAAACAGGCAAAACCTGGACCCCCACAGTTAAGTGTGTAAGTTGGCAGATATGACTTTTACTTGACATTTTTCTGTCAGAATTTTAAACTATAACTTTCATTAACCCTATTACAGAAGAAGTAGAGCAGAAGTAGGAGCAGAAGGCCTGTGTGGAAAGTTTGTTCAGAGGCATTAGAGAATCAGGTACTGCTCTAGCTATGTAGAGTAGAGAGCTCTGAGAAAGAAGGGGTGTACTTGAGAATTGTGCCGTTTCTCTGGGTGAGCGTTAGCTGATCTGCTTAAAAGTGTTACTTTTTTTTTCATTGAATTGTCTTGAAGATTTCTTTTGTATGAAGGAATTATTTTAATATATGTATATAAATTTAGTGTACAAAAGCTAATCATAAAAGTTTTATCACATGGGATTTTTTAAGTGAGTTTTTTTTTTTTTTTTTCCATTTGTTTGTCAGGGGAGCTATAGGGCTTTTTAGCTCTGAGAGACAGAAAGCGAGAAGTCACTTCCTGCTTGGAAGGAGGGTGGCCACACTGCAATCCCTTCTCCTCCATTCTCCTCTCAGGATTTTGGGCGTGTGCGTGTGCACACACGTGCCTAGTGTGAATTTCAAGCCGCTGGTTCTGGGACTCGAACTGCATTGGCCATGTGGGAATCCAGCAATGTAACCCCTATGCCATCTGCTGGTCCCATCAAATGGGAGTTTTAAGCCTCATTGTTAAGTACTAGGTAACCTCTTACCTCAGTTTCTAATTTGACATAAATGGGCTTTTATTGTTAATTTTACTCTTAAATTAAGGATTGATTTAATGCAAAACAAATGAGAAAATAATGGCAAATTAGTAAGCATAATAGTTGAAGTTTTTGTTTTTAGTTTCAAGCATAAAATTGAATAGCATTAAATGTTTTTTATCAAAATTATTTTATTATTATTAATTTTTTTTAATTTGACCAGAGAGAGACAGGGAAAGTGAGAAATCAAGTCACCAGATCTGGGACTCAAACTATGGTCAGCCATGTGGGAGTCCAACTCCTTAGCCACCACGCCACCTGCTAGCCCCAGCATTAAATGTTTTTATTTAGAGTCAGCCAGATGGTGTGGTAGTTAAGGCAGCTGGATCCCACATATTAAGCATTTCAAGTTCCAGACCTTGAAAATCATGCTGGGCGTGTGTGCATGCATGCCCCAAATCCTGAGAGGACCATGGAAGAGAAGGTATTCTGGTATGACCATCCCCACAGGGGTGATATCTCACTTTTCTTCTGTCTCTCTTTCTCCATCTTGCTCCATGCCCTATAGCAAAGCTTTAAAAAAAAGCTTTTATAATAAGTGAATTCCTGGGGCCAGTAGGTGGCATGGTGGTTAAAGTGCTGAACTCCCACATGGCTGTATGTGATTTGAGTCCCAGACCTGGCAGCTTGAAAATCATGCTGGGTGTGTGTGTATGCCCAAAACTCCAGGAGGAGAGGAGATTGTGGCAGGGCCATGCACCCTACCTCAGAGGGGGTGGGGATGAGGTGATTTCTCATTTTCCTTTTCACTGGTTCTCTCTCCATCTCTGGCAAAAACCTAAAAAAAATCCATAAGTTGAACTTCCTTTTTTTTTTTTTTTTTTGCTGTAAGGCGCCTGTGCTTGTCGAGAAAGATAGAAACAAAGAGAAGAAAAGTGAGAAATCACTCGCTCAAAGGGGATGGCCACACTGCAATCCCTTCTTCATCTCCTTTCAGGATTTTAGGCACCCATTTACAAACGTCTGTTGTGATAGGACTCAAACTATAGAATTGGCCATGTAGGATCCAGCTGCCTTAATCTCCACACCACCTGGTGGACCTTGAACTCACTTTCAATAATAATGCTTGGGACCAGCAGTTAGCGTAATGGCTGTGTTGCTGGACTCCCATGTAGTCGACTAAGGTTCGAGTCCTGGACCCAGTGGCTTAAACTCACGCCGGACATGTGTGAGTGCGTACCCAAGATCCCGAGAGGAGAATGGAAGAGAAGGGATTGCGGCGTGGCCATTTCCCCGGGGGGTGATTTCTCACTTTCTGTCTCTCTGTCTCTTTCTGGCAAGCGCACACGCCCTATAGCGAAAACCTCTCCAGAAAGAAAAAAGAATGATGCTTGTATTAAGTTTTTGAATTTTTCAGTCTTTTTTTAAAACTTGCCAGAGTGTACATGTGCTTACAGAAGAGAGAGAAAGCACCCTCAAGTGGAGCACGATCATACCGCAATCCCTTCTTCATTTCTCCACTCTGTCAGTATTTGGGAATGCATGCACAAATGCCTGGAGTGTTTTTCAAACTGCTGGGTTGGGAATTTCAGCTGCATCATCAGCCATGTGGGATTTGGTTCCCTTAATCACAAGGCCGAGTCTGGCCCAGAATTTTTGTCTCGAGAGTAATCTTTGGTACTCTTCTTTTTAATCATTTCTCTCTAGTATGAATCAGATGCAACAGGAAAAAGAGCTCACAGAAAATATTTTGAAAGTGGTGAGTATCATTGTCAGTTACACTGTAACGTTTCTGAACACCTTTTGAGTATTGTATATATGTGTAACCAGATGAAATTGGTATTGGCCACTCAAGAGCCAGTACTTGGTGGAAAGGAAAACTAGCTTTATTCAGGTGGCCAGAAATCTGGGAAGATGACAGATTAAAGTCCAAAAATATTTACCCTGTCCCAGGCTATCTAGAAGATTTTTGAAGAAGTGAAGTATGCTGTATAGCCCACCACAGCTGTTCTTCATTTCTTGACCAATCTCATGGGGGAAACTTAACATCAGGGTTGTTTTGAGCTGTGTTTATGTTGGTTAGACCTCTTTTTTTTTCTTTCTTTCTTTTTTTTTTGTAGGAGAGAGATTTTTGCTGTAGGGCACGTGTGCTCGCTAGAGAGACAGAAAGGGAAGAATCACCCCCCTGGGGGAATAGCCATGCTGCAATCCCTTCTCCTTCATTCTCCTCTTGGGATTTTGGCCACTCAAAACACCTGGCATGAGTTTTAAGCTGCTGAGTCTGGGACTCGAACTGCAGTCAATTATGTGGGAGTTCAGCAATGTAACCATTACATCTCTGCTGGTCCCTGACCTCATTTTCTTTTATTTTTTCAAAGAATTATTTTATTGGGGCCGGCAGGTGACGTGATGGATAAGGGTGCTGGACTCCCACATGGCCAACCACAGTTCAAGTCCTGGACCTGTCCACTTGGTTTCTTTCTCTCTCCTTCTCTCTCCCTCTCTGGTCAAATTAAAATAAATAAATAAATGAATTAATTAAATAAAGTTAAATAAAATAATTTCTTTTAAAAAAGAATTATTTATTTTATTTTGACCAGAGAGGGGCAGAGAAAGAGAGTGAGAGAAAATGAGAAAGCAAGCCACCCGGTCTTAGACTCCAGTTGTGGTTGGCCATGTGGGAGGAGTCCAGTGCCCTTGACCCACCATGCACCTTGCCCAGCGGCCCCACCTCATCTTTTTTTTTTTTCAATTTTTACCTTTTATTTTTTTTAAGGATTATTTTATTTAACATTCTTTCTTCATTTATTTATTTATTTTGCATTTTGACCAGAGAGAAATGGAACGAGAAAGAGGGAACTATGGTCGACCATATGGGAGTCCAGCACTCTTAACCACCACACCACCTGCCAGCCCCTATTTTATTTATTTTAATTTGACCAGGGAGAGACAGTGAGAGAGAGAGAGAGAGAGAGAGAGAGAGAGAGAGAGGTAAAAAGCAAGCCACCAGATCCAGGACTCAAGCCACTAGGACTAGGTCCAGGACTTGAACCATAGCTGGCCATGTGGGAGTTCAGTGCCCTTAACCACCATGCCTCCTGCTGGCCCCTAGACCTCATTTTTAAGGCAGAAGATTTTTTCTTCCTTTTTAATTATTTTATTTATTTATTTAAATTTGACCAGAGAAGGACAGTGAGAGAGAGAGAGAGGGAAAGTGAGAAAGCAAGCCACCAGATCCAGGACTCAAGCCACTAGGACTAGGTCCAGGACTTGAACCATAGCTGGCCATGTGGGAGTTCAGCACCCTTAACCACCACTCCACCTACTGGCCCCAAGGCAGAAGTTTTTATCTTTCTCAAGCACATTTGTTTCTTGGGTTGTAGTCTCAAGGCCTAGTCGCTGTAGGAGTTCATTAAAGACATAATTAATTTTTACAAGTTAACCCAATTGTACTAGTTTTAATACAGAGTTACTTTGTGCTCGCTTTGGCAGCACATATACTAAAATTGGAACGATACAGAGAAGATTAGCATGGCCCCTGCACAAGGATGACACACAAATTCATGAAGCTTTCCATATTTTTTCTGATTTGTGCCCGAATAAATAAAGACACGGTGTCCAGAGAGAAAAAAATATATATATATAGAGAGAGTTACTTTGGTTCCTCTTGTATTCTTGCTATAGATACATCTTCTTTTTTTTTGAGAGGTTTTTTCTATAAGGCGCATGCACTCACCAGAAAGACAAGAGAGAGACAGAGAGACAGGAAGCGAGAAATCACCCCCCAGGAGGCATGGCTGCGCCGTAATCCATTCTCTTCTCGGGATCTTGGGCACGCACGCACATGTGTCTGGCGTGAGTTTAAGCCAGTGAGTCAGAGACTCAAACCATGGTCGACTACATGGGAGTACAGGAACATAGTCATTACGCCAAGTGCTGGTCCCTAGATACATCTTCTCATGTTATGACAGTTGTGAATGTCTATTTGTAGTGACATCACTTTTTACAGTTAGGGCACAGGTAATACTAAAAACTGTCCAGGTTTTGGATTCTTTCTTTTTTTTTTTTTTAATTACTTTATTGAAATTTAATTAATTAATTATTTTTTTTTAATTTGACCACAGAGGGACAGAGAGAGAGAGAGAAAGTGAGAAAGCAAGCCTCCAGGTCCAGGATTCAAACTGCAGTCGGCCATGTGAGAGTCCAGTGCTCTTAACCACCACGCCACCTACCAGCCCCCAGGTTTTGGATTCTAATGAGGAGTGTTCTATTACTGATTCAGTTGCTGAATTATTTTTTAAAGGATTATTTTAGTTAACTTTACTAAATTATTTATTTATTTTTAAATTTGACTAGAGAGGCACAGAGCAAGAGAGAGAAAAAGTGAGGAAGCAAGCCACTAGGTCCAGGACTCGAACCATAGTTGGCCATGTGGGTGTCCATTGCCCTTAACCAGCATGCCTCCTGCTGGCCCTACTATTATTGAATTATTGCATGATACTTTATCAGATAAGAGAAATTGATCTGACTGTTGATGCCATTGTTTACAGTAACTATAATTGTATTCTTAATTACTTTCATAGTCAGAAAATTGAAAGTTTATTCCTTAATTGATTTGCTTAGTAGAAAAGTAGAAATGTAAGAGTTTCTATAATTTAAAAATCTCTAGTTTTAATATAGAGTTCTTTTTAAACACCTATCAATACAGTGTTCCAGGGATACCATGTAAGGTGAGGAAAGAGAAAAACGATTCGTGTCCATAATCTTTTTTTTAAGAATTATTTATTTATTTATTTAATTCCATTTGTTATTATTTTTTCAGTTTCACCAGAAAAAAGAGAAAGGGAAATTGAGAAAGCAAGCCAGCAAGCCACCAGGTCTGGAACTCGAACCACAGTTGGCCACATGGGGATCTGGCACCTTTAATCACCATGCCACCTGTGTCTGTAATCTTTGAAGTATTTTTCTTCATTATCTTCTTCATAGGAAAGACATTAATTTTTTTTATATTTTTTATTCTAAGTAAGTTACCATGTTTCATTTGATAACTTTATTTCAATAGGTTTTTTCTTTTCTTTTTTTTTTTTTTAAGAATTATTTTATTGGGACCAGCAGTTAGCATAATGGTTATGTTGCTGGACTCCCATGCAGTCAACTACGGTTGGAGTCTTGAAGCTGGTGACTTAAACTCACACTGGGCATGTGTGCATGCGTGCCCAAGATCCCAAGAGGAGAAGGGATTGCGGCATGGCCATCCCTCCTAGGGGGTGATTTCCCGCTTTCTTTTTTTTGGAGAGATTGTTTTTTTTTTTGTGCTATAGGGCGTGTGCACTCGCCAGACAGACAGAGACAGAGAGACAGAAAGCGAGAAATCACACCCCGGGGGGATGACCACGCCACAATCCCTTCTCCTCCGTTCTCCTCTTGGGCACGCACGCACATGCGCCTGACGTGAGTTTTAAGCCACCAGGTCCGGGACGCGAACTGCGGTTGACTGCGTGGGAGTCCAGCGACATAGCCATTATGCTAACTGCTGGTCCCAATTTCCCGCTTTCTGTCTCTCTCTTTTTTTCTGGTGAGCGCACGCACCCTGTAGTAAAAACCTCTCAAAAAAAAAAAGAATTATTTTATCTAACCTCATTTTTATTTTAATTCGACTAGAGAGGGACAGAGAGAGAGGGAGAGAATGAGGAAACAAGCCATCAGGTCTGGGACTTGAACCACAGTTGGCCATGTGGGAGTCCAGCGCCCTTAGGCACCACACCACCTGCCAGCCCCTATTTCAAGAAACTTTATTTCACCCTTGCCATGTTAATTTTTTTTTTTTTTTTGAGAGATCTTCACTGTAGTGTGTGTGTGCTAACCAGAGACAGAGATAGAAAGCAAGAAATCACTGACTGGGGGTGATGGCCATGCCACAGCCCCTTCTCCATTCTCCTCTCAGTAGTTTGGGCTTACATCCACAAGCATCTAGCTTGAGTTTCAAGCCGCTGGATCTGGGACTGAAACCACTGTCAGCCATTTGGGAGTCTGAGACATAACTGCTACACCATCTGCAGGCTCATTAAATTTTTTTTTTTAGTAGATCAATACACTGAGCTTCTGATAATCTTGCGATTTGGGGGGGCAGTTAATGTAATCAAGTACTCCTATTTTTGTGTTTTAATTTGTTTTATTGAATTTCTCTAGCTAAAAGAACAAGCTGCTGATTCTATTTTGGTACTAGAGGCAGCCCTAAAATTAAACAGGGATCTTTATGTCCATACGATGAGGACTCTTGATTTGTTGGCCATGGAACCGGGCATGGTAAATGGAGAAACAGAGAGTTCTGCTGCTGGACTGAAAATCAAGACCGAGGAAATGCAGTGCCAGGTATTTCAGTACTTAGTCAAACTGTGGCGGCGTTTGGGAAATTTTTGTTTGAGATCATCCTGGTATTTTTCTATTAGAATTTATTTCTGTCTTTATCTCTTTGATTTTTGACTTATGGTACTACGAAAAGTGTTTGCATCTTTTTAAATTTGTAAATTGTATATAAGACTTGAGTTGAAATTTTTCTAAAAGAAGTGAAAGGGAAACTTCATGTGCTTTATTGTTGCATATAGATTCCTAGTTGTATTTAGGAAAGAGAAGTATGGAGAATGCAGTGAGTATATGGTTGATTTTCAGGTAATTCATATTTTTATAAATCTAATCAGGCAAAAAAAACAAGTAATATGTTGGATTGAAAACTCTAGATCCCCTGGGAACCAGCAGTTAGCGTAATGGCTATGTCGCTGGACTCCCATGTAGTTGACCACGGTTCGCATCCCGGACCTGGCGGCTTAAAACACGCCGGGCGCGTGTGCATGCGTGCCCAAGATCCTGAAAGGAGAATGGAGGAAAAGGGATTGAGGCGTGACCATCCCCTCTGGGGGGTGATTTCTCGCTTTCTGTCTCCCTGTCTCTCTCTGTCTGTCTGGCGAGCGCATGCGCCCTATAGTGAAAACCTCTCAAAAAAAAAAAAAAAAAAACAAACTCTAGATCCCCTTAGACAAAATGTCTAACTTTTCAAAGATCTTAAGATTATTTGCTCTAAGTCTGGGCCCTAGTTCCTTTGACAGCTTTCAGTTAATGCGTATTCTCAGATACTAGTTTATGCACTCACGTATTTTTTTTCCTGCTAGACTGTAAACTCTTTTGAGGTTTATCTTATTTTATATAACCTGAATTATGTCTAGCACAGAACCTTGAATATAATAGAAATTTAAAATATTGGATGATTACCTGAAGAAGGCCACTGAAACAGTGCCTTTTAAACTATATTCTTTTTCTTTAGTTGTATGAGGTGGCATGGCTTTTTCCCCCTTTCTTTTTAAATTGCCAGAGTGCACATATGCTCACGGTAGGTGGGAATGTGAGGGGGGGAACACATGGACACACACACACACACACACACACACACACACTGGGATGTGCTCGTACCACAGTCAGTTCTCCCCTTCTCTTGTCTCTATTCTGTCAGGATTTGGATTTGGAACGTGCAGATACCTGCACACATACCCAGGATGTGTTTTTCTTTTTATTTTTCAAAGAATTATTTTATTTAACTTTACTTACTTTTTTTAGTACTTTTTTTTTGGCCAGAGAGGGATAGAGTGAAAGAGAGAGAGAGAGAGAAAGTGAGAAAGCAAGGTGCCAGTTCTGGGACTTGAACTGTGGTCGATCATGTGGGAGTCCAGCACCCCCAACCACCACGCTACCTGCCAGTCCCACCAAGGATGTTTGTCAAGCTTCCAGGGCCACGATTTGAATCGCAGGTGTCCATATTTGAGAAACATGTGTTTTCATGCTTCTGGGGCTGGCCCAATATGGCTTCTTTCATCACTATTTTCCATCTGGAAAGGGGCCAAAATAGTTTTGACATTGTTCAGAAAATGCCTTTTCAGATAAGCCAGAGTTTAGGGCTAACAGTAATTATTTTTTCAAGACCTCATGTGATGGAGTTTATAGTGGGATTAGGAATAGAAGTAATGAGGTATTGATACTTGGTAACCTTTTAAAATTGCTGATGAAGCTTAATTTAGGAGGGCTTTGGGGAATGTAGAACTCACAGTCTTTCAAAGTCTGTTTCATTAGTAGGACCAGCGATTGGTATGATGGTTAATGTGCTAGACTCCCACCTGGCTGACTGCAGTTTAAATCCCAGACCCAGTGGCTTGAAAATCATGGCAGGCACATGTGCCCAAAATCCCAGAAGGAGATTAGAGGAGAAGGGATTGCCATCTTTTCTGTCTCTCTTCAGTGTGCACACATGTACTGTGACAAAAACCTTAAAAAAAAAAAAAAAAAGTTATTGGTAAGGCCTGACCCAGTAGTCCAGTGGTTAAGGGAACTGGATCCCACATGTCCAACTGCTTTTTGAATTCTGGTCCCAGCAGGTTGAAAAACACCGTGTGTGTGTGTGTGTGTGTGTGTGTGTGTGTGTGTGTACATCTATAATGCTGTCAAGGTGGAGAAATGGAGGAGAAGAGATTGTGGTTTGACCGTGCCCCATTGTGGGGGTGCCACCTCCCTTTCCCCTTTCCTCTCTGTTTCTCTCTCTAGAGAGGTCATGTGCCGCCCAGCAGTAAAGGAAAAGTCACTGATAGTACTTAATGATTTTCACAGTGTAGTCCAAAACAAAACTGCTGGGAAACACTTAGATGGAACTAAGCAAACTTAATTTTTTTTTTTTTTCTTTTAGTTTGCTCACTGGAGAGAGAGGGAGGGCAAATGAAAAATCATCTGTAGGGGTAGATGGCCATGCATCATTCCCTTCTCCTCCATTCTCCTTTCAGGATTTTGGGCCCATGAGTGCACGTGCCTGGTGTGTTTTCAAGCTGCCAGGTCTAGGACTCAAACCATGCAGTTAGCCTTATGGGATCTAGTGCCTTAACCTCCATGTCACCTGGCGGCACTCAGAATTCTTTTAACTACATAGCTGAGTCATAATTCTTTTTTCCCCCTTTTGTAAATGCAAAAGGTGTGTGCACGTGAAAGGGGGGGGAGAGCGAGTGAGTGAGCGAGGGAGCATGTACATGTGAGGGGGAGCACGCCTACCCCCACTGTGGCCTGAGCTTGCCACAGTACCTTTTCATCCAGTTCTCCATTCTTTCAGGATCCTGGGCACATGCACGTGTATCCTGTGTTTTTCAAGGTCCTAGAGCCTAGGACTTGAACTTTGGCCACGTGGGATCTAGCTTCCTCTGTGCAGCACCTTGCCACTGCACTACAGAGCTGGCCTTAGAGTTCCTATTCTTTGAGTGGCCAATCAGTGATAATTTTAATTTTCTGAGGTGTGAGAACATAAAGTACATTCTTTTTTTTTTTTTTTTTTGCCAGAGGGTGTGTGCACTCATTGATGGAGGGAGGGAAATGAAAAAGCTCTCACCATGGTAGGTGGTCAGGTTGCAGTCCCTTCTCCATTTCTCCCTCTTTTTGAGATTTGGGCAAGCACACACACCCTTTGTGTGTGTTTTTTTTTTTTTTTGGAGAGATTTTCACTGTAGGGCGCGTGCTCTCGCCGGACAGACAGAGAGAAACATAGAGACAGAAAGTGAGAAATCACCCCCCAGGGGGGATGGTCATGCTGCAATCCCTTCTCCTCTCGGGATCTTGGGCACGCACGCACACGCGCCCGGCGTGAGTTTTAAGCCACCGGGTCCGGGACACGAACCGCGGTCGACTACGTGGGGGTCCAGCGACATAGCCATTACGCTAACTGCTGGTTCCCACCCTTTGTGTTTTTTAGGCGCATTCGACCACATGAGATCCAGCCGCTTTAACTGTTGTGCCCCCTGCTAGCCCTACAAAGTACATTCTATACCGGAGTTTACCTAAGACTCACAAGAAGAACCATCTAATTTTTTTCCTCAGTAAAACTAAGTGTGACTGTCCTTGTTTGTTAGCAGAAGTCCCTACTTTTTGAGACTTGGTGGGAGGCATAACCTGCTTTTGTAACAGAAACTAAGAACTCAAATCCTAACCTCATCCTGTTTGAGGGCAGGCATACCACAGATTTGGCAGGTGATGCACTTAGTTTGAGACTGAATCAGGAGGCTAGTCAAGGATAGAGACATCTGGGAACCAGCAGTTAGCATAATGGCTATGTCGCTGGACTCCCACGTAGTCGACTGTGGTTCGAGTCCCGGACCCGGTAGCTTAAAACTCACACCGAGCATGTGTGCGTGCGTGCCCAAGATCCTGAGAGGAGAATGGAGGAGAAGGGACTGCGGCGTGACCATCCACCCTGGGGGGTGATTTCTCGCTTTCTGTCTCTATGTCTCTGTCTGTCTGGCGAGCGCACGTGCCCTATAGTGAAAACCTCTCAAAAAAAAAAAAAAAAGATAGAGACATCTATTATAGTGGTGACAACAGTGACAGTAAAATTTAGTTTTCAGTAGCAGAGCTTTCAGGAATGTAGTAGCTACTGGTGATACAAACTGTGGAATGGAGTGGAGCGTTAATATCCCCTGCTGTGGGGAACCAGCAGTTAGCGTAATGGCTATGTTGCTGGACTCCCATGTAGTCGACCGCGGTTTGTGTCCCGGACCCGGTGGCTTAAAGCTCACGCTGGGCGCGTGTGCGTGCATGCGTGCCCAAGATCCCGAGTGGAGAATGGAGGAGAAGGGATTGTGATGTGACCATCCCCCCGGGGGGTGATTTCTCGCTTTCTGTCTCTATGTCTCTCTCTGTCTGTCTGGCAAGCACACGCGCCCTATAGTGAAAACCTCTAAAAAAAAAAAAAAGAAAAAAAGAAAAATCCCCTGCTGTGGTGTCTGCCCGAACTTTCCGCCTGAGTGCTTTCCACTTTGTTTTCCTAGGCTGCTCTGTCCTTCCCAATAACTCTGTCTGCTATCTGAAATCTGAGTAGTAACGATTTTTTGCTGCAGTCAGTCCAGTTGGTCTCTGTTGCTTGTAACTAAGAACACTGATTGTATCTCTGCATGTTGAAATAGATCTTTTATTTTTTTCCTGAGAAAAGGGGAATTATGAGTTTTGCCAGCTCTTAAATACATGAAAAATTGTTAAGCAGATTGATACTCATTTCCATTTCAGGTGTGTTATGATCTGGGAACTGCATACTTTCAGCAAGGCTCCACAAATTCAGCTGTCTATGAAAATGCCAGAGAAAAATTTTTTCGAACCAAAGAACTAATTGCAGAGGTAAATATAGTCGTAATAATTGCATAATATTCAGACCATCCTTAAGACGTATGTAGATAAAACAGCTGTATATTTGGCTTTTATTTTTCTGATAAAACAGTGTGTTCATTGTAGCAAATTTGGTAAATTCAAAAAAATGCTCAAAACTAGTTTAAAGGGGTGAGCAAGTGGTGTGGTGGTTAAAGTGTTATACTGCTACATGGCCGACTGCAGTTTGAGTCCCAGACCTGGAAGCTTCCTTTCTTACTTTCTCTCTCTCTGGTAAGCACACATGCGCTGTAGCAAATTGAAGAATAATGATAATGATGAGCAAAACTAAGTAAAAAATGCTTTTAAAAAAACTGGTTTAAAAAACGTCTGTATTTCTACTTGAACATAACCTATCCTTGGTATTTCTTTCTTTTTTTAAGGTTTTTGCCATACAACTTGTGTGCTTGCTGGGGAGTAAAAGAGAGTAAAATAGTGAGAAGGAAAGTGAGAAATTACTCCTCATGGCAGATGTTCATGCTGCAATCCCTTCTCTATTCTCCTGGGATTTGGGGTATGCACTTATACACACCTGGCATGAGTTTCAAGCTTCTGAGTCCAGGACTCAAACCATGGTTGGCCATGTGGGAGTCCAGTGCTTAACCATCATGTCATCTGCTGGTAACCCCCTCCCCCTTTTTTTAAAACTATTTCAGCATATTTCCCTCCAGGTTTTTTTTTTTTTAATTAAGAAAAAAATTATATTTTTTAATTTGCTATAGGGCATGTGTGCTTACAAGAGAGAAGAAGAAAGAGAAAGTGAAAAAGCAAGCTCCCAGGTCCAAGACTTGAATTACAGTCAGCTATGTGAGAGTCCAGTGCCTTAAACATCACACCACCTGGTGGCTCCTCTGTTTGTTTTTATACAATTAAGCTCATATCGTTCAGTCTATTTTATGTCTTCCTTAGATCTTTGAATAGATATTTTAAAATATATTATGTTCTGTTATGTGGAAGTACTGATTTACTGTATTTCGCTGATGTTTTGAGATTTAGGTTTATTCTTTATTACAGAGCTACAGTATATCTCTGAGCATAAATTTTTGTTCCCTTTTTTTATGCCTTCAAATTGATTTTCTATAAATAGAATTACTATATCAACAGTTGTTAATTTTAAAAAATATTTATTTAGTTTTTATTTATTCATTTTAATTTGACAAGAGAGAGAGGGGGAAAGTGAGAAAGCAAGCCACCACGTCTGGGACTTGAACCATGGTTGGCTGTATGGGAATATCCAGCACTTTAACCACCTTGCCACCTACTGGTCCCAACAGTTGTTAATTTTTTAAAGGCTATAATTTATAAAACCAAATTACTTTCTAGATATATTTCTCATAGGATATTTCAGTCAGTAGTAGTGGACTATGTTTAAAAACCTTTTTTTTCCTTATTAAGTTGATGGGAAACTGGAGTATCTCTTATAAATTTGCCTTTTTAAAATTCCTAATGGGGGACCAGCAGGTGGCATGGTGGTTAAAGCACTGGACACTCCTACATGGCCAATCACAGTTCAAGTCCTGGACCTGGTGGCTTACTTTCTCACTTTCTCTTTCTCTCTGGTCAAATTAAAATAAATAAATGAATAAATAAAATTAAATAAAAATAATTCTTTAAAAAATTCCTAATGGGTTCAACTTTGAAAATTTTTTTGAGAGGTAGTACCTTTTATTTTGAGATAGAATGTTCTTTAAAAAATTATAATTTGACCAGAGGAGGATCGACTGAGTGCATGCATGCAAGAGAGAGAAAGTGAGAAGGCAAGCCACCAGGTCTGGGACTCGAACTGCGGTTGGCCATGTGGGAGTCTAGTGCCCTTAACCACCATGCTACCTGGTGGCCCCTGTAGCCTTTATTTTGAAAATTGGACATGGTATGGTGGGGGTAGGTAATAATTTTTCAATCTGCTAAGAAAATAAAAAGGAAAATCTTACCTGGAGGCCTTTACTATCAATATCTAGGTTGCACAGTCTAGCCCAGAACCATAATTCACGTAACAGCAAAACTCACTTGGCTCAATGGCCACTTCTGTTATTCCGATATTATATTTATCATCCTCATCTGGGTTAGTTTGTTGCTTCTGCCCAGCATAAAATTCCAGGAGAGCTGTAAAGGTATGGGAAGAAAGCCCAGGGATATCACCATCATCTTGAGTCACTCATCTGACAACTATCTATAACCAGCTGCACGTACATAGGCCTAAAAATGTGTTCTTTGTTTGAATTTTTATTATTCAGATGACTGAATTTGAAAGTACAAGAAGACTTTAAACAATTCATGAAAGGGACCAGTAGATGACATAATGGTTACGTTGCCGGACTCCCACATGGCCACTTGTGGTTTGAGTCCCAGACTCAGTGGCTTAAAACTCAAACCAGGCAGGGACCAGCAGTTCGCGTAATGGCTGTCACTGGACTCCCACGTAGTTGACTGCGGTTCGAGTCCCGGACCCAGTGGCTTAAACTCCTGCTGGGTGAGGTTCTAGTCCTGGGCCCAGTGACTTAAACTCACGCCATGTGCGTGGGTGCCCAAGATCCCGAGAGGAGAATGGAGGAGAAGGGGTTGTGGCGTGGCCATCCCCTCTGGGGGTGATTTCTCGCTTTCTGTCTCTCTGTCTCTCTCTGTCTGGTGAGCGCACGCGCCCTATAGCGAAAACCTCTCCAAAAAAACAAAAAAACAGAACTCACACCAGGCACATGAAGGGGGGTGGAGGAGAAGCTTGCAACACAGCTTGCCAACTGGTGGCGTAGTGGTTAAGGGCACTGGACTCCCACATGGCCAACTGTGATTTGAATCCTGGACCTGGTGGCTTGCTTTCTCTCTCTCTGTCACTCTCTAGTCAAATTAAAATAAATAAATAAAGTTAAATAAAAATTTTAAAAAAATTATGAAAAAATTGTGGTTAAATTATGAATTCATCTTGGTGAATTGAAATCACCAAAAACTTGAAATCCATGCACAGGCTTTTTTTTTTAATACATTTTTTTTCCTAGGAGTAGCTCTAAAGCATGTCAGGTTTTTTTTTTTTAGTATTTTTTATTTAACTTTTAAAATTTATTTGTTTATTCATTTTAGTTTGATCAGAGAGGGATAGAGTGAGAGAGAAAGCGAGAAAGCAAGCTGCCAGGTCTGGGACTTGAACCATGGTCAGCTATGTGGGAATCCGGCGCTCCCAATCACCACGCCACCTGCCAGCCCCTAGACTTTTCTTTTTTCATAATATGTGTTTTCAGTGAACTTTTTGAAGACTCCTCATATATACGTAAGCTGGTTTTTATGTGTCTAGAGCTTGGAAAAGTTCTGCTTCAATTTTTTTCTTTCCTTGGGAAAGAAACTAAGTGCCAAGGGGGTTTAATTTAGATGTATTATAGACCCATTATGAATCCTTTACTTTGCCTGAGGAACTCATTAGATTTCTAATTTTATAACATTTTGGGTATAGTAATTTAAAACTTTGGATTTTTCAAATGTTTATTTATTTACTTTTTTTTTTAAGAGATTTTTTTCCCATAGGGTGTGTGTGCTTGCCAGAGACAGAAAGTGAGAAATAACCCACCCCCCTCACCCCTGCCATGATGGGGGATGGCCATGCCGTAATTCCTTCTCCTCCGTTCTTCTCTTGGGATCTTGGGCATGCACACATGCCCAGTGTGAGTTGTAAGCAGCTGGGTCTGGGATTCTAACTACAGACAACTTCATGGGAGTTCAGTGATGTAACCATTATGCTATCTGCTGATCTCAGATATTTATTTAAAAAAAAAAACAAAACTGTTTTAGTAGAAGCATTTCTATTTTCAGCTGAGTGAAGATAATGAGATTTCTTTGCTCTGTTTCATTCTCTGCCTGATAAATGTACTTTATGAATTTTTAAGCTTTTTTTAAATGTTCACTCTTTGTTATTGTCTTGTCATATATACTTAGAGCAGTAATTTTTTTTTTTTTTTTTTTTTCCATTGGCCTGAAAACTCTGAACTCTTAATGTTTTTTTTTTTGGAGAGATTTTCACTATATGGCGTGTGCGCTCGCCAGACAGACAGAGAGAGACAGAGAGACAGAAAGCGAGAAATCACCCCCCAGGGGGGATGGTCACGCCGCAATCCCTTCTCCTCCATTCTCCTCTCGGGATCTTGGGCATGCACGCACATGCGCCCGGCGTGAGTTTTAAGCCACTGGGTCCAGGACGTGAACCGTGGTCGACCACGTGGGAGTCCAGCGACATAGCCATTACGCTAACTGCTGGTTCCCTGAATTCTTAACTCTTTTTGTGAAGGACCAAGTAGTAAATAAATTTTAAGCTTTGTGGATCATATTAAGTTTGTGTTATTAGGTTTTTTGTTTTATTCCCACCATATCAACCCTTTATATAATTTTTTTAAAGAATTATTTTAACTTTATTTATTTTAATTTGACCAGAAAGGGACAGAGAGTAGGAGAGAGCGAGAGAAAGAAAGAAAGAAAGCCACCAGGTCCGGGACTTGAACCATAGTTGGTCATGTGGGAGTTGGGTGCCCTTAAGCACCACGCAACCTGCTGGCCCCAGCCCTTTATATAATTTAAAACCCTCAAAATTATTTAAGGAGTGAACCGAAAGAGACTATAAGCTGGATTTGTTTGACCTGTAAGCAGTGGTTTCCTGACCCCTACTGTAAAGCTGTAGCTTTTTCATTTTTTATGGTTCTTCTAGTTCTGAATTATTTTATTTATTTTTTTGCAGTATACTTTTTTATTGTCATATATTTTTTTTAATTTATTCATTCTCTACATTAATTCACTATATACCATCACAACACACAAATGAATTTTCCATCCAAAATACACTGTGCATTGGCTCAATTAGTTCTGAATTATTCATAGCGTGTTCTTATATTATAAAAATGTGCTAAGTGAGTACTAGACTGTTGTTTATGTTATACTAATGGATACCTTTTACTTTACAGATAGGTTCATTATCTCTTCATTGTACCATAGATGAGAAGCGGTTAGCTGGCTATTGTCAAGCGTGTGATGTTCTTGTACCTTCTTCTGATAGTACAAATCAGCTGTTGACGCCATATAGTCAAGTTCATATTTGTTTGAGGTCTAGCAACTATCAGGTAAGATGTCTGATGGGGGTGCAGTGGTGTAGTTGAAACATTTTGGAAGCCAGATGAACTGAGTTCAAATCCTGGCACTGCCATTTGCCAGTTGTGTGATTTGGGGCAAGACACATAAACTGTCAGGCTGTCTTGTAAAACAGTGGTAATGATTATCCCATTTCATAAGAGTCATAGGAGAATCAAATGAGAAGGCAACTCACTAGACAGATGTTAGTTTATTATTATTTTTATTTTTCCTCCTTGAAGGTATATACAGTATGGCCATGTTAACTAAATCCTGTGTGGAATCTGTAAGCAGAACTTTTTTAACTTCTAAAATCACAGGTAGACAGCTTGAATTTTATGAAGTCTGTTGTTTTGTGTCTGTTTTGAAAGTATGGCCTTGTAGCCTAGTTTCATTACTTTATTAATACTTTCTATATACTATAACTAAAGGAGAAAATGAGCAGAGTGGTTTTGGTAGGTTTCAGTGGGCTCTTACAAAGCTAGTTTGCTAGTAAGCCCGATCATCATCTCAGTTTTACTCATGGAAAGAGCCTGTTGAGTTTTGGTTTTGTTTTTGTTTTTTAAAATTTCTTTTGTAAGAGAAACAGGTATCCTCAGCAGGGTTTTCATGTTGTAATCCAACCTCAGCCATCCTGGATCACGTCCACATCCATTGTGCACCGAGAAGCCTTGGGATGTGAACCTGGGATTTTTCCATGTGGAACCAGCCTTATTGAGCATTACATTACTTCTACACCTCTGTCTGGCCCGAGTTTGTTGAGATTTTTTTTTATTGGCCCCTGTGGGTTCTTATCTTTAGTTTTATATTACAAACCACAAGGAATTAGATTTTTCACTTTAAAGATCTTTTTTCTTTTTAAAGGAATATTTTATTTAAACTTATTTATTTATTTAAATTTGAGGGACAGAGAAAGAGAGAGGGAAAGTGAGAAAGTAAACCTCCAGGTCTGGGACTCGAACCATGGTCAGTGCCCTTAACTATTATGCCACTTGAGGTCTTAGACTTTAAAAATCTTAACTGGGGGACCAGCAGGTGGTGTGGTGGTTAAGGCGCTGGATGCTCCCACATTGCTGACCACGGTTCGAGTCCTGGACCTGGTGGCTTGCTTTCTCACCTTCTCTCTCTCTCTTTGTCTGTGTGTGTCTCTCTGGTCAAATGAAAAGTAAATGAATGAATAAATAAAGCTAAATAAATCATTTTAAAAAATCTTAACTGGGAAGTCTTTATTTTAGAGAATGAACAGTGCCTTCATGTTATTTAGCTCAAAGTATTATAGGGACATGAAATGACAAACCTGTAACTTGATAGTTTGTGTCTCCATTTGGGCTTTTTTTTTCTTTAGAGTGATTTTTGCTATCAGGTACATGCACTCACTGGAGAGACAGAAAGAAACAGACAAAAGGCAAGAAATTACTCCTCAGGGGAGATGGCCACACCACAATCTCTTCTCCTTTCTTCTCATGGGATTTTGGGCACACATACCCAGCATGAGTTTCAGGCTGCCGGGTCTAGGACTCACACTGTGGATGATCATGTAGGAGTCTGCCTCAACCATTATACCACCTGCTAGCCCCTCTAATTGGGCTTTTATCCCAGTTTTATATTTCACTCTTCACATAGAGCATTTTTATTAAGAGTGTTTTTTTCTATAGGGCACATGCACTCACTAGAGAGACAGAAAGTGAAAAATCACCCTCCCCACCGGGGGGATGGTCAGGCTGCAATCCCTTCTCAATTTTCCTCTCGGGATTTTGGGCACACATGGACACACACTCGGCGCAAGTTGTAAGCCATTTGCTGGCCCCCAAGAGTGTTTTTTTTCCTCTTATAGAAAATAAATGAAGAGGGGATACTGCTTCACCCTATGTTTGGCTCTATTTTTAAATACTGTTTTGTCCCAGGGAAGAAAATTAAACTTTCTTGAAGATGAATTATAGATGTTGGTGAATTTATTAAAGACTTGTGGTCATTCAGTTGTAAGTCTCTAGTATAGGCCTTTTTTTTTTTATAGACTGTGTTTTTTATTTACTTAATTTTATTTATTCTTATTATTTTTTATTTTGACTGGGGGTGGGGAGAGAGAGAGAGAGAGAGAGAAAGAGAGAGAGAGAAAGCGAGCCACGAGGTCTGAGACTCAAACTGTGGTTAGCCCTGTGGGAGTCTAGCACTTTAACCACCACATCACCTGCATGTCCTAAAAGTCTCCCTTTTTTTTTGTTTTAAAGAGAAATTTTTGCTATAGGATGCATATGCTTGCCAGGGAGACAGAGACAGAAAGTGAGAAATCATCTACAAGGGGGAATGACCGCACCACAGTCCCTTCTCTAGTCTCCTCCTGGGATCTTGGGCGTGCACAGGCATGTACCCAATGTGTTTTAACCCGCCAGGTCTAGGACTCAAACTGTAGTTGACTATGGGAGAATCTAGTGATGTAACCATTACAATACATGCTGGTTCCTCTAGTCTTTAAGTTTTTGGTGAATGAGGACTAGTTATGGTAAGAGAAGGTTCAAGAACTTACTGGAGAGGTAAAACCTATGCCAACAGGATCTTAGAAATATTACCCATAGATAGGTTCCTATTATTGTGAATATAATAAAGTGCCAGAATAAGTAGCTGAAAAGGGAAAAATAGGGACCAGTAAGTGGTGCAGTGGTTTAAAGTGCTGGACTCCCACATGGCTGAGCACAGTTTGAATCCTAGACCTGGTAGCTTGAAAATCGCGCTGGGCATATGTGTGTGTGTGCGCGCGCATGCCCAGAATCCCAGGAGGAGAATGGAGGAGGAGGGGTTGCAGTGCGGCCATTCCCCCAGGGGATGATTTCTCACTGTTTCTCATTCTTTTTCCAACTAGCACATACTTTTTCCCTATGGCACAAACCTTAAAAGGAAAAAAAAAAAAGGAGAAAGGGGAAAAATAATGATTTTATTGTAGCTCTGACACCATTTTAGTTATGTATATAGGAGTATCTTAGAAGAAGTTATATTTACTTATTTGAATAGGATTCTTTGTATATGAAATGCAGTTTTTGTTTTGTACTAAACAAGCAGGAGTTAAACAGCTATAACAGATGTGTCTCCTCACATTCGGGAAGTGGCTGACTTGTTCCTGTAGAGCCCTGCACTGCTCACGTTTTGTTTATGGAGGTGAAACAGTTGCTCTGTAGGTTTGAAACCACTTTTGTTAGAGCACTGATTAGCCTTAACTGTTTCCAAAAATTCTCTACTTTATCTCCCCACACTATTACCCCTTGTTTCTCTCCTCTAACATTTCTTACAAAAGAGCTGAGAAAAGTCTGTGTTAATGTGAGTATTTTTCAGGATTCACTAAATTATATATTTTAAACCATTAAAAAATTTTTTTAAAAAATAATTATTTATTTTTATTTATTCATTCATTTATTTTAATTTTACCAGAGAAAGAGAGAGAGAGAGAAAGTGAGAATGCAAGCCACCAGGTCCATGACTCAAACCATGGTTGGCCATGTGGGGGTGTCCAGTGCCTTAATCACCACGCCACCTGCTGGTCCCCTAAGGTTTTTGCCATAGGGAGGGCTTGCGTGCTTGCCACAGAGGAGAGAGACAAGAGAGACAGAGGGGGAGATGGCTGCACTGACGTCCCTTCTCCATTCTCCCCCTGAGATTTTGGGCACACATGCACACATGCCCATTGTGTTTCAAGCCACCAGGTCCAGGATTCCAGTAGTGGTTAGCCATTTAGGAGTTCAGCACCCTACTTTACCTACTGGCTGGCCCTAAACCATTTAAATTTATTGGAATTGTTAGTATATATTTTTCCCAGTTGATTTATTTTATTATAATTTTGCTATAGGGTATGTGCACTTGACAGAGAGAGAGAGAGACAGAGAAAGTGAAAAATCACTCCCCAGGGGCCCCCTTTTCCTCCAGTCTCCTTTGGAATTTTGTACACACACGTATCCACATGCACCTGATGTGATTTTCAAGCTGCTGGGTCCAGGACTTGAACTGTGCAGTCAGCCAGATGGGATCCCATGCCTTAACCTTGTGCCACCTACTCTGGCTTAGTCATTATTTTTTTTGGAGAGTTTTTTTTTTTGTTATAGGTCACATGTGCTTGCCAGACAGAGACAAAAAGCGAGAAATCCCCCCACCCCCCCAGGGGGAATGGCCACGCCACAGTTCTTTCTCCTCCATTCTCCTCTTGGGATCTTGAGCGCACACACATGCGCCTGGCATGAGTTTTAAGCCATTGGGTCTGGGACTCGAACCACGGTCAACTACATGGGAGTCCAGTGACATAGCCATTACGCTAAGTGCTGGTCCTGGCTCAATTATTTTTAATTAATAGTTTTTTTTTAAAGAGTTGTTTTATTCAGCTTTATTTACTACAATTATTATTTTTTTAAATAATTATTTTATTTAACTTCATTTATTTATTTATTTTTATTTGATCATTTGACCAGAGAGGGGCAGAGAGAGAGAGAGAGAGAGAGAGAGAGGGAAATAAGAAAGCAAGCTGCCAGATCCTGGACTCAAACCACCATCAGCC